GATTTTAGCTTTTAACCAGGTTTCAACTTCTTCAATTTTCTTTTTATGCACAGCAAGTTCATGCTAAAAATTTCAAGTTTAAAATAAAACATTTTAACTCAAGGATTTCTGGTGCAGCAGCACACATTAATCTAAATTAAGCATTTTTAATGAAAAAACTAGCAAACAACATGATACAAGAATTAAAAAGTCTTTGCTATTACACTTCATTTTTTATACTGAAAAATTCTGTTCTTAACACTGACACCATTGTATGAGAATATGGGGCAGGTTTGGAATTACATGATTTTTTAAAATCCTGAAATACATTTTGGGAAGGGAATAAACAGGGAGAGATATTACATTTAAGAAAAAAATAAAATTCTATGTTGGGATTAAATTAAATCTATGACAAATAACCAATGGTACAATTTCAGAATAACCTGAGAAATGCTGAGTCATGGAACATAAAAAAACTAGGAATTACTTTTTTTTTTTCTAATTCATTCAGAAAGATATTTTATGAGTAATAATCTGAAAATATACATTCCTCTCCTTCCTGAAGTTAAATTATGTGCACTTGTTTGCATCCTTTTTAGTACCTGAGTTTCTGGCTTGTATTTATCCACCCATGGTTCATTTTCAGACAGATACTCTTTTGAATTTTCTAGACCATAAATCTTTTCTGAGGAAGATGGCTTTTCTCTTTTTCTAGCTTGAAATCTGCTACTTTCTAATCTGGAAGGCACATTTTTCCTTCTGTGACTTGAGTTATTCACACCTAATGATGTGGCAGTAATAGAGATGCCTGTATTCTCTGAAAAATCATCAAACGATGGGTCTACCCAGTCTGTTACCTGAAAAAAAAGAAATCATGTAAATATTACATTATCTACATCTGTTCCCCATATAAGTAAACTACTCTACAAAAAAAAAAACATATATTCACATATCTGCAACATTTTAAATCAAAACCTCACAAATTAGTTTTTTAAATAAAGCTGGCACTATATGTATTATTTACTTCATAGTAGGTACATATGCATACTTGTCCACTTGACCAGGGTAATGACAAATGCCATATAAAGAAATATAGAATACAAACTTAATTCTTTTTACTAATTATAACCTTCCTAGTATAGAATAGGCTGATTCTTCTTAAATTCATTTGTAGGTCTGAAACACAAATATTAAAATTATGTGTCAAAAAAGAAGTAAAACAAAGAAATAAAATCTTATTTTAACCATATATAACCATAAGAGTAAACCTTCTGCCTTGACCAGGTTAATACATTCACAAACTAAGAACCATTGCATATATCCAAATAATCCCTATCAGCTTTAGGACTCTGAGAAGATAAGAGTCTAAGAATCCTGATGCTATGAATAATTTGTAATCATGACTTGATTTTATTTCTCTTCAGCCCACTAAAGCAAATAGTACTTTCATAAAAGGGAGGCAGGCTTTCCAGGGAGGATGATTTGTTTCCCAAATTTGTCTAAGAAAACAGAACTGGGATAATAGAGTACAAAATCAGTGAGTTCTACTTCATGTTCTTCTGGTCTATAGAGACTGCTGATCTCTCCACATTTCCCTTCATTACCCTTTCTTTAGAATCCTTTGTAAGGATACACAGAGAAAGATGATGAATTAAGCAGTTTGAACCTAAAAATACCTGGAAGTATTAAAAAGGTTTTTTTAGTAACTAAAATTTTTAAGATGAATTTTCTTAATATTCCTACAGTATAAATCTAGAAAAACCTAGCTTAGTAGGTGGCTTTTGAAATTCCTTGGCTAGCTAATAAGGTGGAACCGAGATTATATTTTCCTTGAAGAATACTCAGCCATAGTTGTGAACCATTTATTAGACAATGCTAAGGAAAAGCAAGTTGAGGATTAGAACTATTTCAGGAATGAAAGTCACACTTCACTCCCCCTTTAAGGACAAAGGTAGGAATATTATCAGTGAGTAAAGAAATGAAGACCTATGGAAAAAAAATTACAGTCATAGCCAAATAATTCATTTCCTCTTCTTCAAAAGACTGTCTATAGTACTATAATTTTGGCTCTTTGCTTCTAATTTAAGAGTTTAGGGGGACCTGGGTAGCTCAGTCGGTTAAGCATCTGCTTTCAGCTCACCAGGGTCCTGGGATTGAGCCCCACCTCTGGCCCCCTGCTCAGTGGGGAGCCTACTTCTCCCTCTCTCTCTGCTCCTCCCCTCAGCTCCTGCTTGCTCTCTCTCTCTTTCTCAAATAAATAAATAAAATATAAAAAAACAAAAAAGTGGGGCACCTGGGTGGCTCTCAGTTGAGCTCCGACTCTTGGTTTTGGCTCAGGTTGTGATCTCAGGGTCGTGAGATTGAGCCCTGAGTTGGCTCCATGCTCAGCACAGAGCCTGTTTAAGACTCCCCCTCCTTCTGCCCAGCCCCCCGCCCCCCGGCTTGCATAGGTTCTCTCTCTCAAAATAAAAAAATATTTAAAAAAAAGAGAGGATGTAAAAATACCATGTTATAGTAAAACTTTTGATAGCAAATCTGATCTTGCTATTCTGACCTGCAAGTTACTTATACATTTTATAGTTTTATTTCTTACATAAATGTGGACTCCTATTTACTGGGAAAAAGACAAACAGCAAAGTTTAATAATTTACTTAAGATCAGAGAAAAATAAGACCCACCAGTAGGAAAATAACAACCCAGCAAATGAGCATGATACAGACTGACCCAATCCTACTCTACCACTAGCCTTGCTGAGAACTGGCACACAAAAACATATGGTTTTTAAGAGGCAGGACTTGTGGTTAAGCTTTATTTTTATTTATCTGTTTTTTAAAGATTTTACTTATTTATTTATTTGAAAGAGAGAGAGACAGTGAGAAGAGGGACAGAGTAGGAGGGAGAGGGAGGGAAAGGGAGAGAATCCCAAACAGACACCACACTGAATGCAGAATCTGTCACAGAGCTCAATCCCATAACCCTGAGATCATGACCTGAGCCAAAACCAAGAGTCAGATGCTCATCAACTGAACCACTGGTGCCCCTCATTGTTACACTTTAATGCTAACTACGACTCATATATTTCTCTTTCTTCTATTGATCCTTCATTCCAGAGTTTTCAGCCTTTCTTTGTGACTGGAATTGTAAACACCTTTTTAAAAATGAAGGTTGTGCTTTTAGTCATTTCACAACTTATTAAATTTTTAGATCACCAATTACAACAGATACTGGACATTGTTACTTTGATGGCAATAATAAGTCATTAAGAACATACACAAAAATTATCATTCTTTTTTGGGCAATTATTACATGGCCATTTTAGTGTATCATACCTTTGTGGAAGATACCTTTGGTCTAAGAAAAGTTTTTGACATTATAAACTTTAATAGTTTCCATCCGTAGTGTACAACCTGTAGTACATTAAAGTATAATTCACCTAAGAAAACAAAAGAAAAGAATCTCAAATTAGGAAAAACTATAAAATAGATGTATAGTGATATAAACTGATATAATACACAGTATGATAAAGGCTCAAGAACTAATGAGATGACATAGTAAACATAGGTGAATAAGTCAAAATGCTAAAATAAAGTTTACTTTTAATCACTATAACTCTGTCAAATAATCCACATGTGGTGGTATAACAGTCTTTCATATGGACTGAATAACGTATTAGAGAAAACAGAAAAAGCACATATTCGACATTCTGTCAGTGAGAAAATCAGACAATTCTATTTGTGCAGCTTTTATGCTGAAAGTTAAAATTTCCCTCATTTTAAATCAGTTCCAGGGTTTTTTCCCGCAAAATTTCAAAAAAAACTCACCATGTAACAAATTCAGACTTTCACTTACTTTGGAAAAAGACTTTAAATCTAACTGTATATTTCTTTGTAATTCTTTTCCTTACTTGAACATATTAGAAATTTGGGGACAACATTGTTTTCCGACTTCAATAATTCTCCAATGTTTACATAAACTAGTGAATTCACCAGTTTTAAGTGAGCTCGAAGCAACGTTTTTTAAGGTCCACAAACTTGTAAACTGGAAGGTGTATTGGACTTTAAGGTTTGGACGCACATACGGTATATAACGTGTAAAAGCCTCCATACACGAAAAAATAAATTGTACACACACACACAACTGTTCACATTAAAGAGGTTTTTGCTTTGGAGATTCAAAGAGATACATGGGTGGAAAAAACACTCATTGAGTAAATATAGTTGGCAGGTCGAAATAAAAGACGCAGACTGTTTTTACGGTTAGGACTGCAGTCGCTCTTTATAAACAAGACTGACAATTACCTCCTTTAAAAAAGAAGATAACTGTCCCGGATGATGTCAGGTTCCTGAAATGAGACGTCAGAGGTAGAAAAGACCTTCAAGAATACTTCTAGCTTACCCACCACCCGCCCTCACACAGTGCACTGGGGATACTAAGCCCAGACATTCGTCCAACATAATGCTACTAATCAGCGCAGAGCCGAGAGGAGCTCGCATGTCCCGACTCCAGGCCAGAATTTTGCACCCCCACCCTCTCTCCCCAAATGGGATGGGCAGATCGGGAGGAGGAGCGAAGAGAGCTCGGGGAGGCGTGAAGGCAGAGATGGGTTCGCGTCTCTAGAACATACAGAGACCAAAGCCGCAGCCGCGGCGGCCTTACTTTCCGGGAGCTTCATCCCCTCGTGGGCGGAAAGGAGCGAAGGAGCCCGGATCTGCTCCAGCAGAAGGGCAACTACCCGACCCTACCCGGGCTCAGCGCCGAGCCTTTCAGAGGTCCCGCTTCCCGGGGACCTTCTAGGCCGGTCGGCGCTTCCGCGACACAGGCAGAAGGGCGGCCGCCAACGGCGCCAGTGGCTTAGGCATCTACCGCATTGCCTGACCCGAAGCGCGGACCCGACCTGTGCCCCTGCCTTGGACTCTGCGCTGCAAGCGTGCTATATTAGGCCAGGTAACCAGTGTTCAGTGACTAGGCGGTGGAGACGGGCTGCGAGTGCCGCACAAGGCCGGGAAGCCCACGGGGCCACTGGCGCTAGCCGCAGCTCGCCGCTTCCGGCTCCTCCCTGTTGTGCGTAAAGTTCGTGGGCCTAGACGCCCGGAGCCAGCGCGGTGAGGACCATGTTGCTCCCGAACATCCTGCTCACCGGTCAGGCGCGCAGTGGGGAGGCGCTGGGCGGCGGGGTACTCCAAGGGCACCGAGTGCCGTGGGGTGTCGGGCGCCTGAAGGGGTGGCGTTCGGTGTTACGTTTCGAGGCCAGTGGAGGGCCGCGCGGCGTGGCAGTTGTCGGGGCCTCGAGACCGGTTCCTCCGACCGTTGCGGGGGGGGGGGGTGGGGGGCGGGGAATGTTGATTGTGTTGGCCCGAGGCTGCTCGGTGAGAGGGGGAGACCTATTCAGGTCCCCTTTCTGGCAGACTGCCGAATCTTTCGGAATCTGGTTTTTGTTTGTAAAATTCTCTTGATTTCTTTTAGCAGGGTTGTCTGTAGAGTTTTAGCGAGATAATGTAATTTACTATCTGACCCTTAGTAGGTCTTTTAATGCTGGACGCCTTGTCCTTAGGCCTTCCTGGGCTATATTTCATTTTCCTTTGTATCTGACAATCACTTTTCGGTAAAAGGGTTCGAATATTTATAGGGTAGGGTAATTAACTTGCGGTGTACGTTTATTGAGTTAGCATCAGAAGCTTTTTTACTGTAAAATTCCCGGGGCGATAGCCGTCTTTCATACTGGTTAAATTTTTTCCATAAGAAATTTCTTAAATTTTTTTTATTTTTTTTAAAGATTTTATTTATTTATTTGACAGAGACAATGAGAGAGGGAACATAAGCAGGGGGAGTGGGAGAGGGAGAAGCAGACTCCCCGCTGAGCAGGGAGCCCGATGCGGAGCTAGATCCCAGGACCCTGGGGTCATGACCTGAGCCTAAGGCAGACGCTTAACGACTGAGCCACCCAGGCGCCCCAGTAATTTCTTAATTTTTTAAAAATTAAAGCAAATAAATGATGGTAATTTGAGATGGCTAGTGTTATTCTGGGAGTATCTGTTGTGGTGGCAGGCAGTCTGCGAATTGGTATCAGAATCCCCCAAGCCCCACTCCTGACAGAACAAATACACTTGGTGAGATCCATTATGCAACAGGCTTTGAGTAGTTTTTGATTAGGTTATAGTGTATATTCACAGAGAATTACTAATTAGGACATTTTTCATTTCAGTTGTTAAAAACTTTAAAAGGGGTAGATAGGTGGCTAAAGTCTAACAAGCATCTGTGGCTTGTCTTACAGGTACACCAGGGGTTGGAAAAACCACGCTAGGCAAAGAACTTGCATCAAGATCAGGACTGAAATACATTAATGTGGGTGATTTAGCTCGAGAAGGTAAGGGATACATTGGCGTTGGTTTTAAAAAAAAGAGAGTAGGTAATGGAATGTTAGTACTATGCTTGTGAGAGGGTACAAAAAGCAGAGACAGCGTGCCATTAAGGAATTTATGCTCTGTCGGAAACCGGTAGAAAGAGAAAGTAACATGTATGTAGTACTATGTTATGGTTGTTTTGACCATTCTACCCCATCCTGCCCCACCTTGTTGGCCAGTAGTTCTGAATGGTAATAATTGGGAAGGCTTCCATGAAGAGATGGGACTTGGGGAGAATGTTTTTGGTATGGGCAAACACATAAAGGTTTGGATGGTACCAAACATATTTGTGGAGATGGTGAGTATAGATCTCACTGAAAGGACAGATTATTTTGAACTCAGTCAGTAGGACATGACTTCTTCTATGGTTTCTTAGCTTTGTTTGATAGTTGCATGCCTGCACACAACTGCACATTATTCTAAAGTGATAAATGTTTTTATTTTACCTTGTTTTCTCCTTGTCTTTTATTACTTCCTTATTTGTGACTTCATTTTTTTATTCTGTAATGATTTGTACAGGATAGAAATACAATAAATTTAAAGCGAACTTTTAAGAGTGCCTCATTAAAATTAAAAAGATTTAACAATTTTAAATATATTTTCAAAAACTTAACAGTATTTAAAATTTTTTGAAGTTCCTGACAGTTGCTACTAAAGTAACTATTTCAGATTTGGTCTAATGTACATATTTTTTCCAAATGATCTAAAGTCTGATCAACGGATATCATGGAGTCTGGCAAGATGGCTTCTCCCAAGAGCATGCCGAAAGATGCACAGATGATGGCACAAATCCTGAAGGATATGGGGATTACAGAATATGAGCCAAGAGTTATAAATCAGATGTTGGAGTTTGCCTTCCGATATGTGACCACAATTCTAGATGATGCAAAAATTTATTCAAGCCATGCTAAGAAAGCCACTGTTGATGCAGATGATGTGCGATTGGCCATCCAGTGTCGTGCTGATCAGTCTTTTACCTCTCCTCCCCCAAGAGATTTTTTATTAGATATTGCAAGGCAAAGAAATCAAACTCCTTTGCCATTAATCAAGCCATATTCAGGCCCCAGGTTGCCACCTGATAGATACTGCTTGACTGCTCCAAACTATAGACTTAAATCTTTACAAAAAAAGGCATCTACTTCTGCGGGAAGAATAACAGTTCCACGGTTAAGTGTTGGTTCAGTTACTAGCAGACCAAGTACTCCCACACTTGGCACACCAACCCCACAAACCATGTCTGTGTCAACTAAAGTAGGGACTCCAATGTCCCTCACAGGGCAAAGGTTTACAGTACAGATGCCCACTTCACAGTCCCCAACTGTAAAAGCATCAATTCCTGCAACATCCGCAGTTCAGAATGTTCTGATTAATCCATCATTAATTGGGTCTAAAAACATTCTTATTACCACTAACATGGTGTCATCACAAAATACTGCCAATGAATCATCAAATGCATTGAAAAGAAAACGAGAAGATGATGACGATGACGATGATGATGACGATGATGACTATGATAATTTGTAATCTAGCCTTGATGCCTGTAACATGTATACTTGGTCTTGAAACCATTGTACTGAGATTAAACATGCATGCTGGGTATTTTCAAGTTGTGTTGTAGAAAACTTAACTGGCATTTAATGAGTAAATATGGTTATCCTTTCCACTTGAGATGTTGGGTTTTCTTTAATAGGATTAGTAATGGTTATTCATCAGCCTTTAAGTGTAAAAATAAAATTGTTCATCAATTTGATCATTGGTACTTTGGCAGTTATGTTTTTAGAAGCAGTTTTCTTAAGTGTCAACAACAGGAATAACTGATAACAACTTGAAGTTGTGGTCTGTTCATAAACAGTGAAGTGGTACTTCTGGTGTCCTCAGATGTTTATTTTTTTCTTTTAAGATTTTATTTGAGGGAACGAAGCAGAGACAGAGTGGTGGGGAGGAGCAGAGGAAGAGGGAGAAGCAGACTCCACGCTGAGTGCAGAGCCCGTCGTGGGGCTCGATCTCACAACCCTCAGATCATGATCTGAGCTCAGATCAAGAGTCGGACGCTTGACTGGGTGACTGAGCCACCCAGGTGCCCCTTCAGATGTTTGGATCACAGTATGATCTCTGGTGTATAAGTCACTCTTATGGCTCCATTTTCTAAGATTGCTGAAGTGTAACCATGTCTCTTTTTTGGAGAGTCCACTTCATCTGTTTGGATTTCTCTTCAGTCACTCAGCCTCTTCCTGGGTCCTATTTTTCTATCTCTGGTTATATTTAAGGACACCTTGGTGTGTCTCCCAGAATGTCCCCACTTTAAAACTTTAAAAATTTTTTCATTATCCCTTTTTGTGACTCACTTTTGCACATCTTAGCTTTGTCATATTTTTGGTACTGTAAGTCAGTATCATGCTCATATTTTTAACCCAGGTCTGGTATTTAAGTATAGTTAATAAAACTTAGGTATTTGCTTGCTGTTTTACATGGCTAGTCAGTCTCCCATTTTATACCTATATAAAATCTGGTTTTCTTCGTTTGCCTGTTGAACTTTACATTCTCTGACAAGTGATTTCAGAGTCACATACAGTTGTCAGTTTCAGTCTTCCAGTTTATCTTAACCCACTGAATTTAACATTTTTAAACTTAAGTTGCTGTACTACGAATAGTACTGAGAGGAACAGTAACACTAGACATTTGGTTCCTTTCATACTTGTACTTGACACTGTTTTAGCCAGTGTATGTACACCTAACCGTGTATAGTCCCAAATGTCCTCTGTGGTTTTTAAAGATTTATTTATCCATTTGAGAGAGATTGTGCATGCACAAAGCAGGGGGAGGGGCAGAGGGAGAGGGAGAAGCAGGCTCCCCACTGAGCAGGGAACTGGATTGGGGGGTGCACCTCGATCCCAGGACCTGAGCCAAAGGCAGATGCTTAACCGATTGAGCCAGGGAACCCCGTGCGGGGCTTAATCCCTGGGGTCACAGCTGGACAGGTGCTTAACTGACTGAGCCACCCAGGCGCCTCCCCCCACCATATACTTCTTTCCCCACGATTTCAGTGCAGCTATATTGTAATTTTGCCCCTCCCTTTAGTAATCTCATCCACTCTGGACCAGTCACTCCCTTTTAAAAGAGCCTAACTCCTAGACACCTACAAAAGGTAGCCACCTTGGTAGTTCCCAGACCTCTTCAAACTAACAGACTTAAAAAGCACATGCTCTGAAGTCGTACTTGAACTTGCCCACTCGTGATTCCTGTTACCCATGCATAGAGACACATTCAAACACTACACAGATGCATTTGCCCTATAAATCTTTATGGTTTGCCTAAAAAATCGATATGGTCCCCATCCCATTTTAAAGCCCATTTCTGCTGAATCTTTTACTCCTTAAGTTTCTTTTCCTTCCTTCTTTATTAGTCTTAGAAAAGAGGGAAAAGTAATAAAACTTGAACTTTTTCTGATAAAGTCCATCTTCCATAATATATAGATGATGAACGGTCATACTTTGCCTTCAGCCTTCCCTGCAGCCACTCTCCTGAGTCCCCTTCAGTCTATGCACAGCGCACTTACTGTTCCTCAGGCACTGGGAATTCACCTCCATGTCTTTATACGTGCTATTCTATTCACCTACAGATGCTCTTCCTTACCTACCTTTTTTTTTTTAAGAGTTTATTTATTCATTTGAGAGACCGAGAATGAGAGAGAGAACACATTAAAGGGGGTAGGGTCAGAGGGAGAAGCAGACTCTGCTCTGAGCAGGGAGCCCGATGTGGGACTCGATCGCAGGACTCCAGGATCATGACCTGAACCGAAGGCAGTCGCTTAACCAACTGAGCCACCCAGGCGCCCCGCTCTTCCTTACCTACCTTATAAAAGGCCCAACTCAAATGTCACATTTTGTTGCTAACTTTTCTAAGTAGATTTCGTTGTGCTTTATCTACATAAAAGGTCAGGTATTTAAAAAAAAAAAAAGGTCAGGTATTAAAGTACTCAATCCTTCCAAGCCAATTAACTTCGTGTACTAGTTGTGTCACAGACATAAGCTTCTTGTTGGATTGAAGTAAATGTAAATATGTTTCCAAAGTAAGAAATCTGAAGGTCACCTGGCTGGCTCTGTGGTCAGAGCATGCAACTCTTGATCTCAGGGTTGAGTTCAGGCCCCATGTTGGTCATGGAGCCTACTTTAAAAAAAAATTAGGGGTACCTGGGTGGCTCAGTTAAGTGTCTGCCTTCGGTTTGGGTCATGATTCCAGGGTCCTGGGATTGAGACCCACATCGGGCTCCCTGCTCAACAGGGAGTCTGCTTCTCCTTCTGCTCCTCCCCCCTCACTGCTCATGGGCTCTCTCTCTCTCAAATAAAATCTTTTTTAAAAATTATATAAAGTAAGAAATCTGAAAATGTTTTAGTATTGGCAACAGCATCAAAACAGCATCCCAAGATCATTAAATAACAGCTTTCACGTGAGTGTATAAATTCTAGGATGGCAGTTAAAGAAAATGTAATGATTTTATAGTTTAACAACGGCTGGGAAGATCTTTTGAAGTAAGAACTTACCATTTAACTGGCCCCACAATCATTTTTCTTCTGCAACTAACCTAACTTTAAATAAATCATAAAAATTTGTTGAGAGAAGATTAATTTTCTAAGCTTTTGGTAGTTTTTTTTTAAGATTTTATTTATTTATTTGAGAGAGAGAGAAAGAGCACGAGAGGGAAGAGGGTCAGAGGGAGAAGCAGACTCCCTGCTGAGCAGGGAGCCCAATGCGGGCCTCGATCCCAGGCACTCCAGGATCATGACCTGAGCCGAAGGCAGTTGCTTAACCAACTGAGCCACCCAGGGGCCCTAAGCTTTTGGTAGTTTAATCAATTCAAGCCTTTTCATCTCTTCTAGATTAGGACCCTATACATACACAACTCTAAATCTGACTTCCAACGGAAACTTTCTGAAGTAGTATAATTTAAAAAAATTAAAAGCATACATTTTTCCCTTTTTTGGGGAAATTTGAAATGAAGTTGAGAATCCATTTCTCCATTCCCTGTGGTACAGGTTATAATAATCAGTCATCTAAAATTCTGCAGTAGCCTTGGTGTCCCTGCTTCTGGATTTGCTTCCTTTCAATTCATTCTCTACAGAAAAATCAAAATTATTTAAAAATATTTGTAATTGATCATGTCATTTCATGATTAAAATGCTTTAATGATTTTACTTTGCCTTGGGATAAAGTCTAACTCTGCAACCTTTAAGGCCCTTTTTGATCTGGCCTTAATTTACCTGACCCTTTATCATCTATTTTCCAACTAGTCTAAGAGACTTTCCCTCCCTTGAGTCCTCCCCTCCTAATTCTCTCTTGCTTTGAATACCTTTTTTCTCTGTTGAAAATAGTCCTCCCTACTTTTTTCCTCTGGTTACTGCTTCAAGTCTCCCCTTAAGTCACTTGCTCCAGGAAGCCTCCCCTAATATCCCGTGTTTATGTTCCTAACATAATAGGTGTCCATACTTTTGCTCTTATAACACCAGGAATCATAACATTAAAAGTATTATCCTAGTATAATTTCTAGGTTACTTGTCTGTCCTCTCTCATTTTATTGTAAACTCTTTGAGGGAAAGACAATGTTTGCCTTCCTGGTCATTTTGCTCACTGTTAAATCATTAACCCTACAGACACTTATACATGGTATTTGATAAATGTTTTTTTTTTAAGTGAACATTTGAAAGCTTGGATTACACTATTAAACTACATTAACATGATTTAAGAAATCCTGCATTTCAGCATTGCAGTATAAAGACTTTAATTCTAAGTTAATATTGCAGTAGTTGTCTTTATTTTTGACAGCATATATTTTTTTTTACTATGTTATGTTAATCACCATACATTACATCATTAGTTTTTGATGTAGTGTTCCATGATTCATTGTTTGCGTATAACACCCAGTGCTCCATGCAGTACGTGCCCTCCTTAATACTCATCACTAGGCTAACCCATCCCCCAACCCCCCCCCTCTGGAACCCTCAGTTCGTTCCTCAAGAGTCCATAGTCTCTCATGGTTCGTTTTCCCCTCCGATTTCCCCCCCTTCATTTTTCCCTTCCTGCTATCTTCTTTTTTTTATTAACATATAATGTATCATTTGTTTCAGAGGTACAGGTCTGTGATTCAACAGTCTTACACAATTCACAGCGCTCACCATAGCACATACCCTCCCCAATGTCTATCACCCAGCCACCCCATCCCTCCCGCCCCCCACCACTCCAGCAACCCTGTTTGTTTCCTGAGATTAAGAATTCCTCATATCAGTGAGGTCATATGATACATGTCTTTCTCCAACTGACTTATCTCGCTCAGCATAATACCCTCCAGTTCCATCCACGTCATTGCAAATGGCAAGATTTCATTCTTTTTTTTTTAAAGATTTTATCTATTTATTGAAAGAGAGCACGCACGCGCATGTACAAGCAGTGGGAACAGCAGGCAGAGGGAGAAGCAGGCTCCCCCCTGAGCAGGGAGCCTGATGCGGGACTCAATCCCAGGACCCTGGGAGCATGACCTGAGTTGAAGGCAGACGCTTAACAGTCTGAGCCACCCAGGCGCCCAATTTCATTCCTTCTGATGGCTGCATAATATTCCATTGTATATATACCACATCTTCTTTATCCATTCCTCTGTCAATGGACATCTTGGCTCTTTCCATAGTTAGGCTATTGTGGACATTGCTGACAGCATATATTTTTAATGATTTCACTAGTCTTAAAAGTCAAGGGTTTAAA